CGTGACATTGATAAGAAATAAACAAACAACCCGTGAAAAAAGTGACAAATAAGTCAATTGAAAGAGCCATGACATTTAAGTAAAACTTAGCAATACAAGTATAAAAGACATATTAAACTTTCTTCTTCAAATTGGAAGTTTCATATAACTTTTAAAAAAAGTATAGCAAAAATACCGAATCAGAAAAGGGGAAGTTCTCAAAACTAAAAAAAAAAAAATAACGCTACATATATCAATCACGGAACAATTGTAAAACAACTGCAAAGTTTGCTCGCTAAAGCAAAATAAAAGAAAATACAACAAGAGTGCACACGCTGAAATGTCTCGCCTTCTTTACTAATCATTGATATTATGTTGATAATCCTAAATATAAAGCTTTATTACAACTGTCACATAAACTTAACATTAACCAAGTAAACTAAACATTGACCAATGAACCATAAAAATGAGGTCAAGGTCAGATGAACCATGCTAGGCAGGCATGTACAGCTAACAATTCTTCCTTACAACAAATAGTAGTTGACCTATTGCTTATAGTTTAAGAAAAACAGACCAAAACACAAAAACTTAACACTGAGCAATGAACCTTGAAAATGTGGTCAAGGTCAAATAAAACCTGCGTGACTGACATATAGATCATAAAATATTTCTATACACCAAATATAGTTGAACTATTGCATATAGTATTAGAAAAAAAGACCAAAATTCAAAAACTTAACTTTGACCACTGAACCATGAAAATGAGGTCAAGGTCAGATGACACCTGCTAGCAAGACATGTACACATTACAATCATTCCATACACCAAATATAGTAGACCTATTGCATACAGTATAAGAAAAACAGACCAAAACACAAAAACTTAACTATAACCACTGAACTATGAAAATGAGGTCAAGGTCAGATGACGCCTGCCAGTTGGACATGTACACCTTACAGTCCTTCCATACAAAGAATATACTAGACCTATTGATTATAGTATCTGAGATATGGACTAGACCACCAAAACTTAACCTTGTTCACTGATCCATGAAATGAGGTCGAGGTCAAGTGAAAATTGTCTGGCGGGCATGAGGACCTTGCAAGGTACGCACATACCAAATATAGTTATCCTATTACTTATAATAAGAGAGAATTTAACATTACAAAACATCTTAACTTTCTATTCAAGTAGTCACTGAACCATGAAAATGAGGTCAAGGACATTGGACATGTGACTGACGGAAACTTCGTAACATGAGGCATTCATATACAAAGTATGAAGCACCCAGATCTTCCACCTTCTAAAATATAAAGCTTTAAAGAAGTTAGCTAACGCCACCGCCGTCGCCGCCGCCGCCGCCAGATCACTATCCCTATGTCGAGCTTTCTGCGACAAAAGTCGCAGGCTCGACAAAAACTAGAGTGAAAAACAAAATAGAAACGATACTGAACCCTTTGTGTCCGAATAGCACCTCAGGACCAATCTGCACTAGGAATGCCCAAAGTTAAATAGTTAAACACCTGATAACGGGATGCATCAAAGCCGAGTCACCTTATGTTTTTGAAATATTAATATTGATCCACATTTTACAGTATTCGCTGATATTATAACGTTGAGATAATCTTTTATACTAGCATTAGAACAGTATCATCAGTATCTATCAGATCAAACAATTTTAATTGAAATGTCTGATTATAAACAGGTCAGTTTCAAACGTATCGGAAATATTTTGAGACCGTTTATTTTTGTTTAATAAGAAGTCTATTACATCATTGATATATGGGGAGAAAAAAATCTTCCCCTCCCCCTTTTTTAACTCAGGTGTTACACGAAAGAATTCCAATATTGTATTATAATAGATATCTCTTGATTCGATATAACTAGACACACTTATCATTACTTTAATTATACATTTCGCCATCTTTTAGGATTAAAATAAGTTTATATGACAGCCCATTTCTCCAGATGGTACAATTGTATCAAAGCCGGCCTTCGAAAAATCAATGAATTTCATTAAGTTTAAGGTCAAGGATCAGTAAATGACCAGTCCATAGATTTTTTTAAAATTTAGAATTCAATTAGATATTGAAAATATACATCAGAAAATTAAAAAAAAAAGTATATGTCACCGACTTCGTTTTCGAGAAAAAGCCATTTTTAAAATGGTCCGAGAGGGTACTAAATTACATTGAATATATAGGGAAAATCCTTATTTTTCTTCTACTCTTTTCGGTTTCCTGTATAAATCACGAGATTCACTCCATAGAATTTTTTTTTAAAATGATGATTTCTTCCTCTATGTCTTACAAATAAGATGATGTGAAAAAAATATATGGTCACCGACTTCGTTTTCCCTCTAGAAACGACGCAACCTCAACATTTTGAAAAAAAACATCAAAAATCGTGACGTCTTCATTTTTATTACATAACGTCAAGTTATCATGGTATGAATTTTCAAAGTTCTTGGTGTTGATTACGCATGATGATTATGTGTTTTGTATTGATAGGTTCTTTTTATCATAAGGGTCTGGATAGAGGGTCCTTCATTTATTATTTTTTTATTTTGTACTACCAGTATTGTATTCTTTATTCTTTATATTTAAGCACCTCATCATTCTCTATTCTTTTTTTTTTTGCCTGTTATTCTGCAGTTTTTGCCTTTTATTGTGTATTCCGTAAACCCCAGTCAGACCCTCTTTTATGGACACGTATTTCAAATTAAATTATAACTGTTACAGTTGTAAAAAATGTGATATGTTCATTATCAATAAACATGTTTAAAACAATTACTAATTCAGACGAAAATACTTTGTAAGTACATGAACGCAAAAATAGTAATAACATAAAAATAGAAATCATCCCAATGTCTTGACTCAAAAAAAAAGATGTAATATAATTATTTTATCTTTTGTGACTCTGGCTTTTTCAAAAAAAGAAGTTCCGATAGGAGATTGGCAACACCATCAGACCCCTCACGTTCGTAAGACTGGGAAACATATTCCACTGAGAATGAGTGTGGTGCCTGTGCCACTTTCTCAGTGGGAAGCGACACATGTTCTACTAGTTGTTGTAATGCTTGAACATCTCCAACGGCATTATGTGCGTCGTATTTGACACCAAGAATGTCAAATACTAGGCTCTCCTGGTTATAACCTTTACCCGTTTGTTTCCTCTCTGGTAGCACAGTTTTCAGCAAAGATAGCGAGTCAACAGAACCCTTACATTTTTGTTCAAAACTATCAAAGAAAGAATTATTCTCCATGGAATAAACTAAAACTCTCGAATAAAAAGCTTTGCATTGTGTCAGGTAACCAATTGATAAAATCTCTTAGACTATCTTGCAGGTCATCTGTTTGCATTATTTTTCCGTTCCGATATAAGATTTGGCCACTTTTTGAAAAACCGGTAACTTTACAAGCGGAACATTTGATAGCTTCTTTTGGTACTATATAACGACAGAAAGCGTTCTGCTCATATGCTGCTGCAATTTGTATTATGTCTGTACAGTCGTCTGTTTTACAAAGATTATACAATTGTTTAATAGAATTTTACATCGCATATATAATCGACAAATATTATCATCAATGAATTTTCTACAAATTATTGAAAGAGTGTCATGTGGTTATTAATACATCTGCAAGTTAACAAGTAAAACACGCATACAAACTGACATCTTTGATAATTTCTTTTCGTTCTGTATAAAATTTATTGTATAAATAAAAACGTTAAAGATTACTCCAAAAGTGAGCACGTATATGCTCGAAGTATATATAGAATCAGTACACGATACACAAAATGCAACAAAATAGTGGGGGTATAGTATTAACATGAAACTATACTAAACTAAGGCTTTGATCAATGTGAACTTCAATAAAAATGGAAGATACATTAGGAACGGGAAGATAAGAATATAGTGCATCAAATACAACACCCTCTGCATAATTTGACTAGTGATTTTTTTGTTTATTACCAACAACACCGAGATAATACAACGATTAACTTAAGGGTCTATATGAAGTGTGTCTCCTTAACTTCTGTATTCTTTAATTAATTTTAATGGCAAATTTCTTTAATTTTGAATATAACGCTTATTCTGTTTAATCCTCAATAAATGATTTTATTGTAAAATTCTTCTAATATTGCATGATTGCTTTATTCTGTACATGGTTCATGTCTTTAACCACTACACTTGTACATTAACTTATTATTTTATTAGGTCTTTCCACTTTTCTGTGGAAAGACCTATTGTTTTTGTTCTGATTATTATTTTTTTTTTTTTTTCTTCTTCCGCCACTTTTATTTCTTGCGTATAAATTTTGTTTCGCAAGATGTCGCTTAGATGTTTGGTATATGATATCGAACAGTTTATGCGCCTTTGAAATTCACCCTGCGTAACCGAATACTTTTCTTTGTAGGAGTTATCTCCCCGAACACTGTTTTCCTTGTGACTGCATCTCCTCCGTAACCGTATAAGAAAGAGACAAATTTATTTTATAAAATTGCTCGTTATATCCTTCGCATGATTTGTTCAATTTTGACCGAAGCCATACTAACACTCCATATGAGAGTTATTTCCCCTAATGCATTTGAAATAAGTGATATGCATTTGTAACTGCTAAACCATAAGTGATAGAGACCTAGAGTCTGTTGATTTGAGGTCCTTGGTCCTAAAGAATAGAAAACTAGGTCAAGGTCAAAGGTCAAGGTCATGTTGTGATTTTTTACATTAAGTTCATATCGCTTCTTCCTAGAAAGAGTTATAGATATCGACAAAACAATTTAACCAAAAAGTTTGTCGCGACATGTGTTTACTAGAAAATTTTTGTCGAAATGGTACGCGTCACTTTATTGCAGGGTCAATGTCCCTGTTATGGTCGAATCAACAAATTACTTATCAAAACTTCAAACTTTGCAGCTATCATGTTGTAAATGTTTCTTATCTCAATTATCAACCACAGTCTACCACTACACCCCCCCCCCCTTTTTTTTCAACTGATTTTTTTTAAGTTATCCCGATTTTATGAAAAGAAATAGCTTTTAGAGCGTACATTATACTGTAAAATGCCAATCCTTCTTATGTACAAATTTCTTTCTGAAATAGAAATCCATCCCTGCAAAAATCTGCTCCAATTCATGTATTTTCTGAAATTAATCGATGAGACACGTGCGGTCCGCTTGATTGCGAAATTAAAATCAATGTCGTAGAAATCGCTCCTTTAAGTTCGTAAATATTACTGAAATCCTACAATCAAATTTCTAAACATGCATTAAAATACAAATCTGTGCTCCCGTAAACATGTGTACGTAATATGTATGCGTGATCCGACATCAATGACCTGTACAAAATAAAAACAATAGTTATCGTGTTTCTCTGATCAATACACATGTGCTCTGTTCAACGGTCTCCCCTGAAAAGAAATTAATATTTCGGGAGCCGGTGGTAGTATTGTTCTAATTGGAAGCAATTTATTGTCCTCAACATGCCAACCCCAGTCCTTTGGATCTAATTTATCACCTTTCCCAATCCAAACTTGAGTTTGATGATAAACTCTCATGCAATGTAGCTTAGCAGCGTCAGATGTTGGTGGGAGGGTGTGCACTTGTACATATATATTTCCAACGCAAACTTTGGAGGCTAATATTCTATAGCGCAGCATTTCTAATGTTTCAACATCTTGTAACCCTCCATATAATGCAACAAAGATTTGTTCTCCTGCATTATGAAGGCTCTCGACATTAGACTCCTGGCAAAAGACAGCTGCATGATCTTGTAATTTAATGTTAGTACTAATTTTCTTGAAAACCGTGCCCTTGCCTTGACCAAAAATTCGAGATGTTGTGTCGCATCCGCTAAAGGCGTGAATGAATGGCAAAATATTGCAAACAAGTGGTCCAATTTTTCTCCTTGTCTCTGTTATGTCCCAAATCTTTATTTTGTGAGTGTTTTGCTTGGCTTCTGATTTGAAGTAAATCTTGTTTATAGTATCTTTTAAATGATAACAGAGCAGTATGAGTAGGTCAGTGTCTTCTCCTATGACGGTAGTTGTATGTTGTGCCGACTTTTCTATTGCTGTAAGCACAATCTTTAGATCGGCATCGTCTTCTGCATGGATAACTTGAACATGTCCGTCCTTAAGTTTTTCTCCAAGGGTATTGATAAAGTGCTGTTTATTTTCTGAATTTGAAAGAAATTCATCTTTTTTTGTTTTAATTGGTGTGTCATTGTTAAAATTGACTTTTGGAGATATGATTCCTTTAGTACGTCTGAAATGAGTTACATCTTTTGTAGTTGGAACTGATGGATATCCGTCAAACACAACAGTTGCATCTTTATAGTGATTGCTAACATAATTGACGTAAGTCATACATATGGTGTCAACTGTAGCTCCTTTTGTCCATGGTAAACGGTGTATAAGAGAACCACCATCAAGTACAAAGTGGGTTTCTGTTGGTGCTTTTGGTTTAAGTTCAATCAAATTCCACATATATTCGGCAAGGGTTGATTTTTGGGGTTCTCTTGGAAGGCCCGTGGTTTCAAATATTGATGAAGGAACTCCGCATAATTCAAATTGAAATATCTCTGAAATATCTTCGAAAATACCTTGCGCAGCAGTGGTGCATCTCTGAAAAAGGAGCTGTGAATCTATTCTGATAGGTTCGCCGTCAAGTTTTGCCTGAACTTTGTTTCCAAGCGTAATGGCTTGTTTCTTTCTCCTAAACGTGTGATCAGCTATATTCTTTCCTACTAGTTCTTGTAGAATGGAAGTCCCAACCTTTTTGGCATCATCTACATTCACGGTTTTATCAGCTACTACTCCTGTCTCAATGTTTCGTAGTGAACGGTCTACCTCTAAATCAATGAATGGATTCCGACTTTTCAAGAACGTGAGAAGAGTTTGAATGTCGTTAGTGTCCTTTTTTTGTCTTGCATGTGTTTCGTCTTTGTGTTGTTCACTAGAAAAGTATCCTACCCCGGACAAATCCTGCATAGCTTGATTAATCTCAGCACATGAAAAGTGTTGAGGCCGTCTATCGTTCTTGTGTTGTGGTCAACGTTATCTGCTACAAATTGTACAAAGCTGTTGCTTACATCGCCTGGAAGGTCAACTCCTTGTACAGCTGCAGCACTTAATTCAAACTTCTGGACTTCATAGTATGACGAACAAAATCCTAAGCTGTTCAATGCGGACACAAGAAATCGTGAAGCGAAGTTGTGATGCACTTGTACTCCTATTCCGAGTTGAAGCGGTGTAATAAGTGCTCGAGGTCGTGAAGCTTGCATTACTGCTTGTCCTATGGAAGCTATTTTCACTAATGGGTCCTTCTCAGAAAATATAGTAGAAAGGAATAACAGCAGGCTTTCGGGTAAGTATGATAAATTTGTATCAACTGATGCAATGTTGGCTGGAGTTGGATAAATAGACTTTGTGGTATCTACAGATCGGATGTCGCTTTTTATCAGTTTGGCAGCTGCTTTGATCAAAGCTCTCTTTTCGTCATCTGGATTTAGATTACTTGGCCTCTGGTAATAGTCCTGAAGAATACAACTCACGGTTTCTCGTAGAGTTACAACACTTTTTTTACCTGGTATATCGGTAATAATGATTTCGTCTCCAAAATGTTGCTTCAATCTTTTCTTCAAATATATCTGGCTATAAGCATTCCCATCACACATCTCGTCCATTTTTTCAACAAGATCTGATATCGAAATCTGTTCGTCGTCATGATGTTTAAGGAAGTCGACTATTTTGTAGAAGCCGTCTTCTTGCAAAGCTGGCCTTCCTCTTTTGTTTTCAGGCTTTGCGTCCGGTGATATGGGAGAACGAAATACAGGAATATTTTTGCACGTGCGGAAGTTTACACTACATGCCTGGTGATAAACAGCATCCGCTGCATGGAGGTCGCTCACGCTCTCAAGTCTTCCGCGAACCTCGGCTGCCCAATCATCATTTCGAAGATCACAAGCATCTTGTATGCTACTCTCAAAATCATCAGTACGAACTGGAAATACATTTTTGTCTTTTTTCTTGGAGTCTGTTGCTTCATTTCCACAGAATAAACAATGATGTTTAAAATCAAAATGGGACTTTGATCGTAATTTTGGAGTGTTTGTATTTGTTTCTCGTAGAACAAGTTTTTCTTTTTTGTATTTTTTTATATCATTTGGATTGGTATATGTTTTCCTGCAGAGTTGATGGACAAAATTACCCTCTAATGCGGACAAACAGTCTCCTCTTTCCTGGCTAGCTCTGATGATTCCAAGACAACCTTTTTATCGCAATTTGATCAGCGTTGTTGGGTGGTCATCTTTTAGGCACACAATGCATTTCTCCATGGTATAGTTGTAGCTGAAAAGAGTAAGAACACAAATTATTTGTTGATGCATACTTTAATCATTATATGTCATATAACATATCAATACACATTATAATATTATTCGGAACAAGAAGAATTAACAACGTTGACTCTAAATAATAATGTTTTCTTGTTCGTGTGATGTTTCTTTTTTAGTGTGTCTATACACTGTAATTCATTTGTCCATTTCTCAATTTCTTAGGAATTCTAACCCTACTGAAGATAATGAATTATTTGAAAAGCGAGAATACCGAAGTGTCAAAAAGGATGACAAGAGAAGTTGAATCAATGGGCTTAAATCGCGTCCGAGAAAACGAAAAAGGACATAAAAACAAACAAGACAAAATATACAAAGTACACACAGAAACGAGCAGCTTGAACTAAGCACAATATTTATCATAAAGCATTTAAAAGTATACTATGTTCGATGTTTTCCCATCTTGAAAACTTTCGATTGTGTTTTACTGTAGCATATTTCGCACATTTGTTTTGTTAACCATTCATTTTGAATTGACTTATTGATAGAGCAAGATACGCAATCAAATATTTTTGACTCCATTGTGATAAATTATTTTCATGGAAATAAGAAATTCAGAATAATATAATATAGTACCTGATATAGAAATGATCCTTGCGCTAAACAATTAGCACAGTGACTGTGGTTAGCTCCAATAAAATAATGACGCTGAATCGAACATAGGTCACTTCAAGTGATAGCTGAAATAAAGTTACAAAATAGTTTATTTTCGGCAATAATTCATTAAAAAAGGAAGAAAATAATTATTTACAATTAGTTATATGAAGACAATGCAATATTAGTTAAGAATAAAGGCTTTTGCTATAGTAATAAGTGCAAAATCGACGAAATTGTAATTATGACTATCCATTTTTGTTAATTTGGCGTTCCATACTTTTTTGTTTTCGTTAGGGACGAGTCTTACTATGTTACTTTAAATTATTTTTATTGCTATATTTTGGACTTTTTTCGTTTAAATTTAGTTGATTTTATGTATAGGTAGTTGATTGTATTTATTTTCTTTGAAATAAACAAAAATATAGCGATCTTTGTCGTTTGACCTGCGTCAAGAACTTTTGTACGTCTACACTACCAACAATTTGCCTAACGTTTACATGTACATTAAATGCCGCTATATAAACAGTACTTTTAGGAAACATAACTTATCAGTACATTAAATGCCGTTATATAAACAGTACTTTCAGGAAACATAAATAATCAGTACATTAAATGCCGCTATATAAACAGTACTTTTAGGAAACACCACTAATCAGTACATTAAATGCCGCTATATAAACAGTACTTTTAGGAAAACATAACTAATCAGTACATTTCTTACCCATACATTTTCAGTACATTAATTTATATATCATTTTTTAGTAATGTTGAGAAAAAGTTGTTTACAGTACTGAAAATTTCAGTCATTTTTCAGTACTGAAAATTTCAGTCATTTTTCAGTACTGAAAATTTCAGTCATTTTTCAGTACTGAAAATTTCAGTCATTTTTCAGTACTGAAAATTTCAGTAATTTTTCAGTACTGAAGAAATCTGTCATTTTTCAGTACTGAAAATTTCAGTCTTTTTTCAGTACTGTAAATTTCAGTCATTTTTCAGTACTGAAAATTTCAGTCATTTTTCAGTACAGAAAATTTCAGTCGTCTTTCAGTACAGAAAATTTCAGTCATTTTTCAGTACTGTAAATTTCAGTCATTTTTCAGTACTGAAAATTTCAGTCATTTTACTGTTCTGAACATTTCAGTCATTTTTAAGTACTGAAAGTTGTAGTCATATTCAAGACCTAATTAAAAAAATCTCGGTTATGCTATCACAAATATCACAAGCCCCAAGGGTGAGTAGGGAATAGAAATAAGGTCACTTGGTCTTCTTCCGACCGGCAGTAAAACGCTTGCCAAAGTTGGGCGTCCGTTTGGCTGTGCGGGATGTATCAAGTTTGTAGCTACGTCCTGTCCGAATGGTGAGGTAAATCCGATGCCTCGTGTAAAGAGAGTGCCAAGCTCTTTGCACGTTTAGGACCCTTGCAACAACTCTTCGAGGGGTCCGTAGGTAGCCTGTTGCAAGGCAAAATTTCTGTCCCTATCCAATATACTATCATTTTCCAGTGACAGTCGAAATTCCCCCGACCATCATCCCGGTGGGCCTCTATAATTACAAGACCTACCTGTTGTATTTATTGTTAACTTGTTCTCGTCCTGAACATGCATGAAATATTTGCCACTGGACGTTTAGCAACCAACAATCAATCAATCATCAACAAATATCATAAGTTGGTTTGGGATAAATACAAATATTATTAATTCGTATATTTTATCAAATTTGATTCGTTTAGGGATAGTCACATGTTAAACTATATTTTCGAAGGTAGAGAGAAAACGGCGGATAGCAAAAAGCATATTGCACAGCAAAAAGCATATTGCACGGTTATTTTTAGAATATCTAAAAACCGATATACTTTGTGACGTCATGTAATGAATTTCAGGATATTGTTCAACGTTTTGAAACAAATGACATCTGTGATCGATTATTTGACAAAATTTTTTTCAAATACATAAGATGTCAAACAAACAAAAAAAAAGTAAATGAAATAACAACTAATATGTTGTTATTGTCAAGGAGACAATATAATATCTATAAAATTCCAACAAAATCAAATGTCGATTTTGATACAAATATGGTCGAAAATTAATAATATAACAAATATAGCCTTTGTATGAGGTCGATACAGGATATATCGACCCAAAGAAGTATATCGACCTCGGACTTCGTCCTCAGTCAATATACTTCTTTCAGGTCAATATATCCTTGTATCGACCTCATACAAAGGCTATATTTGTATAGTATTTTATTTTAAAACTCCATCGCTGTATGTATTCTTTCATTTCAACCCATTAATGCATTGAAGATGTTTTTTTTTGATGAACTATATGGCCACATTCTTTATGTGCCTGTTTCAAGCCATGACTTCTCATTTTTGATTGTCGTTGTTTGTTGTATGTCATAAATGATGTTATTCAATGTTTTTGACGTAGATCAGTGCGGGTTTTTTTTTATTCTTACGATTAGTTTCGCTAGTTATTAAGTAGACTTTTACAGCTTTCCGTGCGCTATGATATTTTCATTGTTGATTTGTGTGAAAGACGGAAAAGGAGCTGTCATAAAGACAGTCAAATTCAATCACATAAGCAACAAATACAAAACCATCAGACAGAGGTCACCAATACAGTTCTTCAATGTTTAGCAGTCCACAGCATACATGAAGCTCTGAATGGCTCCGACAAAAAAAAGATGTTATCTAGCTGTACAGCACAATGTCAGAATATCGTTTATTCAACTAAATGTATAACTACACAAAGACGTATCTATGACATGACTTTGTCCGACTTGGGACAGAGGTGCATATAAATGTGGCGGGTTAACCCGATTTTGTCGACGTCTGACGTTGGACATTATGGTTATATATAGTATTCTTGTTCTGTTGTTGATAGTTGGCAAGCATACCACATCTCCTTGTTTTTATAATACAAATAAACATGTATGTTATACATGCAGTCGTCCATATTAAAACTGTTGCTCTTTAAGCAAAAATGCATGGTCATAGCTATTTTTGACTA